TGCACTCACTTTGTTATGTCACGAGCCATGACAACCACAAGTAATAAGGCACAGTCACCTCATTAGGCAATGGTATGATTTTTTAAATATCACACCAACAAGATTATTCCTAATGCACAACAACACCAAAAAAAAACAAACTACTTTCTCATTCATTTGAAAATGGAGATAATGAATATCAAAAGAACTTATAAAACTGTTACAGAATCATCTCTCCAAAGACCACTTCTTCAATGCAATCCTATTAACTCGGCACATTCAGAAAAGAGAAACTGAAGGAAAACATCAAGAGAATTTTGCACTGTCATGGCTTACACGTGCACCTGGGACCTCATCCAGCTCCTGCCACCTCCCAGAACCTCAAGAGCCCAACTCTTTCAAACATCGATATATTACTAATTACAATTGCCTTCAACATATACACAGAGATGTTAACATATACACTTAGATAGGTTGATAGATAAGATAAAAAATTTCAGTCACAATCATGTTTCAGCACAGAGCCCAACACGATGATAATTTCAGATAAGGTGGGGAGAGGGGGGGGGGGGGCTTAGAAAGAGGATAATACTAGTAGTAAATGGAACATAAATAATATAAACAAATAAAATATATAAAACAAATAATAATAGAATACCACTAAATTAATTATATCTTTTGTAAATACTGCATATTATCCAACTACAACCTAACGTAAATGTTTACAAGAAATCTTTGTTTAGATATCTGAGTGATATCTTTCTTCTCATAGAAGTTTTTATTAACATTACTCCAAAACTCACATGTACTAACATAAATATGCACTAAACAGGATAGTTCAGTGCATGTGGACAGACTAAATCAATGCTGTTAATTCCAAAATCTGAAACTAAGAATTACTTGTGATCCCTTGCTTCAGCCACAAGCATACTTTTAATATACTTGCAAGAATTTATAAATTTCTTGGGAGTGTGTATACCCTCACAGATAAAGCCTTATCTTGCATCATAGACAAAACACACTTAGTTTCAACATCTTCAATTGAAGAACTCCAAAACTATAATCATGCTCTCGAAAGTTTGTAAAACCTGAGAAAATATCTGACCGTCATTCCATGGAAATAACTTTTCTTATTGTAATAACCCTTTTTGATCTTTTCCTGAGAGGCAAGTCACCTAGAATTACAGCACACAGATGACTCAAGCGTTGACAAAACAAATGAAATTAAAGTACAGTGCATGGAATTTTTAAGAAGCGACCCACACATCTGTCACTAGTCTCGTGACCTATGTGCTTTTTGGTGCTTTGGCAGAAATCAAAACCCCCCACCATACATGTTTTAGCAAGACATGAGCTTCTAGACCTTACGGGCAATCTGACACACAAGGAATCAGTCCTTGTGTTTTTACTCTTTCTTGTCAGTGTATACATGCCAGAAATTTCCCGGGTCTTGTCGAAGCGTGGGGGGTTCCAGGAACAGGTTGACAATACTGCAGGTCATCCATCACAGAACACTGCTAGTTCGAAGTGGATTTGGATAAAACAAAGCTAATATAATTAGAGGAAAAGGTCTTGTTTTACTATCCAATGTGTCTGCCTTCTAAACGTTTACTTTTGGAATAGACAAATCAACTCAAACCGAGACAATTTCCATCCACGTCGTCTGCCTAAGGATTGTTGAGGAGGGTCTTCAGGTGCTCTGTCATTCAGAGACAAAACTTATCAAGTCATACATATCCACACTTCGAGGGTTTTGGACACGTACTCCCATTCCAGTGGATTCTTTTTTTGGCTGGTTGAAATGGAAGACAACGTAAGACTGGTTCTTATCCATAGACAAAATAACTTTGACCTTTTAACTTGCAATAGAAATGTCACAGATGTCACAAATGTGTTGGACTTTCCTAAGCTGTTATTACTTACTGTTTACCTTGTGTGACATTTAATAAGAAAGCCCCAACAAATAAACAATTGAATAACAAAGACAACCTATTCTATCCACCTCAAGTATTAGAATAAATCACATAGGCCAACATAATGTGTCTACAAACTATGCACTTGATATAAACAGCTTTAGTAACAGCATGTGAAGAATAGACATGTGTGACCTCTATCAAACTGCCCATTTCGTGTCTCACTCTCCCTTTCCCCTCAAGTAGATCCCTAAATTCTGATCCCACAGTCTTTTTCTTCTTTTCCTGAATTGCATCCCATCAAAATGCTTTTCTAAAACCTGGTTCTGGTCTAATCAACTTCATTACGTAACCTGTCTCTCACTGACCCAGGTGGAGGTTCCTGCCCAGAGACAGCAAATAGAAATCAGAAAATAGTCCAGTGCTTTGAAATCTGGCTTGAAAACTACAAATAAAATGAAAGTTTAAGGTCTAAATTTATCTTCGTAAATGTTAATGAGTAGATTTATACTCACCAGACAGAAAAAAAGCCAAAATCCCCCAAAATTAAAAACCAAAACAAAAGCTAAAACTCAGAACAACATGAATGGATTCACAAACCTCCCACAAACAGAAGAAGAAAAAGCTGCACAAGCATATCACAAAAAGACAGAAAACATTATTTCTGGATAATAATGTTAGTAAAAAAAAGCAGCACGAATAACAACCGCTCCAGAGAGTAGGCCTTCATTGGTGCCAACTCTGAAGCCTCTTTTGAATCTTGACATCTCTGGTCACCTATTTTGACATCTGCCACTTGTTCACCCTCTCTTCTCCTCTCCTCTCGCGTTCTCCTCTTCCTTCGCACTTCCTCCTTCCAACCTTTCGTTCTTTAGGCGACGTTTTGTTCTTTGTTTTGCGGTAATTTTATGGTTTACGATTTCTTGGAAGAGGTTTTGTCTGCTTTAAGAATGTTATGGAATTGAGGTTTTTTATCTTCGGGTTTTCCTTTCCATTTTCCTTCATTTGGCTCTTATTCCATATTGATTTTATTCTGATGCTTTTCTTTATTATTTTTAAACACCTTCAACGTCACATTCCTGTTACATACACGTCACGGAAGTTTTTTGTTTTTGGATTTAGAAAAGGAAAAAAAATACGTGTTTTGTCCTTTTCAAACAGGAACAATTGCGTTATTTACAGGCTAGGTCTCTCCTCTACCAGAACGGCGAAGGAGAGAAAATGCGAATCCTCGAGTTAGAAAAAACGTATTATTTTTCTTTCCAAAAATTATGGGGAAGTTCGAAGGTCGCAGATAAAAAGTCTCGCCTCTTTAACTGCGCCATTGCCCCTCTCTCGCTCACCTCAGACGTCCCTGCACCCACCTTCTGATACACTTTGCGAATCTTCTTCTTATTTCTGGTTGCCTTGTCGCCCACATCGGCCATACTAATCCTCAGCAGGACATTTTCCCGTGTCGTAGCGCTGGCCAAGGAGCCTCTACAAAGCAGCCATGTTGGAGTGTTGGTCGACGAGGCATAGAAAACTGGAATTCGAGAAAACGGGAAGAAGAGAAAACGGGAAGAGAGGGACCCCGGGTGTAAGGTGATGTGGCTCTCTGGGAGGGATTTCTTTATGTATTTATTTGCGAGTATAAGATAAGTATATTGTTAGAGGGGATGTATTTGGTTAATGAGGTTTCTGTTTCTGTGGGATAGATGTGGACTGGTATTGGAAAATGAGGAGGAAGAGATCCTGAATGTAGCGTGATGTAACTTCTTGGAAACACATTTTTTGTTTTTTATTCGTTTATCAGGATGACACCTTTGGTTAAATGAATTATTATACAACAGTTTTAATGCATTTCGGTTACAGGTGTTAAAGATGTGTGGGTATTATATGAAAAGAAGGTTTTTTTTATACTAAATAGATTGCACCCAACTGATTATGACAATGACTCATAAAAAACTAAACATCTTTATTTATAAAAATATTAAGGGAATTATTTCATTGAGGCAAATGAAGGGTTTCCGAGAAATATTTTTCTATATAAAACCTCTCTTGATGTGTTTTTTACGATAAGAAATACTGATAGCTATCAGAATCATAGATTTTAATTGAATCGACTATAAATATTTGATATTAGAAGTAATATCATTAATATATAATTTTGCGGACTGTTCAAATATTTATTTTCCAAATGTCATTTAGCCTCATGCTCCCTTTAAGCTGCCATTCCGTCGACTTCAAATAAAAACCCTTCTTTCCTTATTTCAAAACACTCTGGCAAAGAGAATCCCTCTCAAACAAAGAAATAATAACGCTTAGAAATAAGAAAAGTCCAAACTGCCCCCAGAAATTGTCGTTTTATCCCCGGCAGCCTAGGAAGTCGACGGTCCGCCGCGAACCTGCCGACAAACATCAACAAGCGAGAGGAAGACGAAGGCAGAAAGTACGCTCGCAAAAATGCCGCAAGACACGACCAAAACCGAGAAGAAAGAGAACAAGAAAGACGAGGAGAAGAAAGATGGCGATCTCAAAGAGGAATTGGTAAGGTTTATCTTCGCGAGAGAGTTTAGCGTTGTGGTTTTTTCCAGAAATGGAGTAGGAAGGTTGAGGTCCTTCTTGTGTTTGAACATTGATTTACTCTTCTTTTGTTTATCGATTCAAGGGATGATCAGGATAAATACTCACTTATGTGGCATTTATATCAAAGACTGCAGAGCCTGTTCTCTTTGCAAATCGCAATATATTCGCTTTTCTCTCTCTTCAAAGGTGACAGTTCGCACTTCCCAAAAACAATGAATATGTCACTTTGGAGACTTTGTTGTCAAGTTCTTCGTGATAACTCTTTAAACTTTTCTTCCTGGAAGTGGGGCTTTGCTGATAACTATGTAATTGATGTGATTTTATTTAATTTAATGTGTTGTACCCGAATATTACACATTTGAGATGCCAAATGTCAACAAAGGTATATTATAGGAGATTGTAGGCCAGTATGTAAAGGACAGTAATTTTCGACGAGATCTCGGTACACACAAAAAGAATTTGAAGAGTGCACATCCTGATAATTATCAGATAACAAAATGTGTGAAAGTCCTTTAAACTACTCGTAAATTCCTAGTTCCACGTTGATGTTACCTTATGTCCAGACTGTAGAGTATTTTTCTTGCACGGGGAATGTTATAACATCACTTAGTCTACATTTGCGTGGACTGATCTGTGGACGAATGATGAAACAAGTGCGTGGAAAGGTCAAAAGAATTGTATACATGGAAAATTATTTAAAAAAGAACTTAGTGTGTGCAGAAAGTTACCCGAGAATTATATTTGGGCAGACGGAAAAAAAATGGGTAGGAGTCCTTAGCCCATACTATCCAGGTAACGTAACCATCGTGTCTTGAAAGAATTTGGCTTAAGGGGTAGGTGATATAAACACGCCATCATGGGAAAACCTGACTATGGGCTAGGTTGACACGAACTTGCTGTCCTGAGTATTTTAGCTGAAGGCTGGGGTGAGGGGAAAGACTTGCCGCAAATGCACAAACTTCTTGGAGAGTGATTAGACTCATTTGGCAGTTAGGAGGGGGCTTTTGCATTATTTCCACCTGTGGTGCAGGTTGTATTACAGAAAATCAAATATTACAAGAAAAAAAAATAAGAAGAAGAAAAAATAAAAATTAAAAGTTACTTATCATTGTTGTTCTTGCACTACCAAGAGAGATGATCTGGATAAGGAAATCAAATGACAAATATGGACATTAGAAAATGGCAGGGAAAAAATGCTAATGCATAAAAATGAAAATGATATTGCAAGGGGGAAGTATAGAGTCTTGTCACTGCACATGAGTGTTCGCGTGCACCGGGCCTACAAGCTGTGCGCCAGTCAGAGTAGTCAATCAAGTAAGCCTAATGCCTTTATTTTGGGCCGTGTGATGGCAGTGAAACCCCAGGATGCAACTGGTTAAGGTGGCTGCCCAAGCAAATATTTGGATTTGTAACGGTTTAGCTAATTCCTTACCTTGGCCAATAGCTAAATCCAAAATGGCCAGCCTGTGAGTTGTCAGGATTTCCTTATTGCTGTTGGCAAGAATTCAGATCAGTATCCACCACTCCTTGTTACTGCCATATTGTTTTGCAGAGTAAAGGCAAAACAAATTTACAGTTTAGTCGAAAATAAATTTACAGGTTAGTCCCAGTGGGATTGATGGGAATTTGAACTGATTTCCCTTGGCTCTAGCTTCCATTATCCTATGATTATCTGTTATCTTGCCGTGCATATGGAGATGAAACTATTTTTGCCGGGGGGTGTTTTGGGCCTCCATTAACCTTCCTCTCCCCCTCTCACGGTGACATAAATTGCTGAAGAATTTTTGACATAGAGTCAGGGACTGTCTTTGGCGAGTGGGCCTGTATGGTAAAGAATCAACAGTGCCATTTCTGATGATACCTTTTCCTGATAGCGCTTGTCATGTTTCAAATGAATCCAGCCACTTATTCCTGTTGCAGAAGAAGCATATCTGTGATATCAACCCTGATAGCTGGGGAAAGCATAAGTACTAGGGAAATGATGGGGTTAAAGCAAATGATTGAGGTATATAGTTCTATGATTATAGCAATTGTAATGCATAGTAATCAATGGGGTTCTGTCTCTTTCCATCCCCCACCTTGTTTGCAAAATCTTCACCTTGAATGTTTTGGCAGGATAGATACCGGGCCAATATATTTTAATGATACGTATTCACAGTATAAAGGTACAATACATGCAATACCTACTTCCCATGTGTGTCCACATCTAGACCATGTGTTGTGGCAGGCATGCACATGGCCCCTGCCACAACACGTGGTCTAGATGTGGACACACATGGGAAGTAGGTATTGCATGTATTGTACCTTTATACACAGTATACAAGGAAGCATGTGGTCCTCCTACTGATTTGGATAATTTGCCACAAACACTGATTTGAGAAGAGCAGCTTGAAGGGGGTGAGGATCCTCCTCATTGTTTTTGACTGGAATTTGAAGTACTATCTGCCTTTCTTGTTCACCATTTTCATATTTTGCTAGAAGAAGCAAAACAGTGTTCTTTGTTCTGGCTCCTTGTGAGCACAATTGTGAGCCAGAAAGTGATACAAATATGGAGGCTTTTTCCTTTACAACTTTTATTCTAAAAAAAATTATACACAGCTAGCACACATACTACACGACTAAGGTAACCTTGGATGGTGTAGGTTCACAAGATCATTAACCCATTGCTTCTTGGGATGACATGTAGATGCCCACTGCGAGCTTACTTAGTTAATTGTATTTACACATAAATTGCTGCACAAGTTGCCAAGGAGGCAGTTTCTAGTCCCACCTGTCTCATGTATATACCCTTTTCCTTGATTTTTGAAACTTATTTTTATATTGTATTGCAATTACTATTGCTAGTAATGTTATAAAAGTCAGTAATAATTGTAGCAGAGATAATAAAAGCATGAAAAAGAAGAAATAAAGGAAAGGAAAAAGAGGTAATGTAGGCATGCTAATTGACTTCTTGGTGGGTGAGCACATGTGAAGCTGTCTGTATGTAAACACATTTCACAAAAAAGTGCACTGGACATTACAAATTCCTGGCAGCAGTAGGTTAATGTGGGATGGAAACAACAGTGGAACTACAGAAAAAACTCGGAAGATGTGTAATATCACATGATAACTATACATTGCCTGGAGTGCTATCTATTGAGTGGATGAACCAGCAGGAGTAAGAGTATCCTGTCCTGATGATTGCTGACACAGGGACTACAGCAATAAAAAATATTGACAAGTTAGTGTTATACACTCCTTTTTGCTGTGTATATATGCAGAATATTTGTTTTCCAAAGTTGGATACAATTGGCTGCAGTGGTCAATGAAGTGACACCTGTTATATGGTGGCCTTAGAGTTCTAAACTTGTGAATACACTCTTGTATCTTAGAATGCACTATTCAGTTTTATTTATGTTTTACCCTGAGATTCCTGTTGTAATTTATGCTTTCCCCGGATGTATGGCAAGCAATGGATGAAATTGCTAAACTCGTATGTGCAAACAGAGACTTCAGTGTAGTGAACCCATCATCCAATGCAGCCTATTAGTTACCCCATTATTGATGTATTAATTTCCAGATATTTGGCCATATTCATTATATTTAGCCAAGGAACTAGTGGAAAATCTATATAGCTAGAAAATATTTGGTAGAGATTTGCTTAGCTTTTCTATTGCCACTGAGGCAGCAGCAATTACTTGACATTCCACCAGGGCGACAGTCAGTTCACTCTCCACGAAATATGTAGGATCCATGGGCTAGGAAAGGATGTGTTAGTAATGTCTGGAAATTGAAGGTGGCTTAGAAGGTGTGCTTTTGCTGTAGGCAGGGAGCAGGTGATCAGAGTTCTTACTTGGCTGCCACCAGTATGTTAAAGATGTATTGAGGCAGTGAAAGACAGGACCAGGTGTAGTAGTTACTCAGGAGCAGGTACAAGGGCCTGTATGTTTGAGGATTACCATAGCAGCAAGGGTGCCAGTGCTGTGGTTGATCGGCCTCTTATGTAGCTTGACAAGATGGACTTTTCAGTGGTTTGATCTATGATGAACCTCTGTCATCAAATTTATGAGGACTATAATTGAGAAATTTAAAATGTGAACAAATACATGCTGTAATTTAAACACATGCCAGGGCCTTGAGTCCTCATGTTACTCTAAGAAAGAACCTCAGTCTACACCTTTATGATTTTATGTAAAGAATCCAAAGTAGCATTTCTGACAGTAGTGTATATCAAGGTATGTAGTAGCTGTAATGAAGTGTTAACCCTTCAAGAGTTATTATTTCTCATGCTACAATAAAACCTTTTTTTTTTTATTCAAATGTAAAGTTATTTCTGGACAGTGTAGACTTCACAGAACAAGAATATCCTAAGAGAAAATGAAGTTCTTTCTTGCACAGGTGGTCTGAGGGTTGACTGCCTGTATTTTTTATGCTATAGGAACATTTGAAATAGGGTCAGATGTGTTAGAGTTGCCACCCCTCTGCTTACCAAAAATGGGTACTGTGTAAAAGTGATTTTAAAGTTGGCTAATTTTTCTGATATTTGGACTTATATTTACAATACATTAGTAATATTACATATAGAAAGAAAGACTAAGTGCATACATTACTATGAAAGTTGTTGCAATCTGATCTGTGGTTTGATTTGTTATAGAAAATAAATTGCAAAAAGTAGCAGTCTAGAAAGTTGCATATTTAGGGTTCCTCAGGTACCATAACTAGATATATTTATCGTTTTGTTTATGATTGATGTCTCTGTTAGTGATCCATTTTAGGAGACCACTTGGTGTATAAGGCAGTTTACTTTTACCATTTGTATTCTACAGTGCAATTTTTTTATATATACTAATCTAGGCGCATTTTGCAGTTAAGACATTCCAGTAGTTGATGTAATTGGTTATAAGAGCAATACCAGCGATGGAAGGGATGGATATCCAGTGACACTGCTGGGATGCAGAAGGGTTTTTGGCTGTTTTGATTGATTAAATGTTATTCTTCTCTGCACTTGTTTCTCTTTAACATCACATGTGTAGGCTAACACAGCCTACAAGGAAGTCAATGGACAGGTTCTGACAATTGAATTTCCTAATTATTATTTTTTCCTCTGTTATGTGTCATCATACTCCACTCTACTCCTTGCATATCTGGTGTGGGGATAGGTTTGAAATATTCTAAATTATAGGGAAGGGTTAATGTTGCAATAAAATGCTACAGGAGCCATTAAAATGAACATCAAAATGAGAATCAATTATAATCCTTGAACAGATAATCAAGTAATGTCCCTCTTACCTCTGAAGGAAACTTGTTTTATGCCTATTATTCAGAGTGGAGTTTTCCATGCATGCACAAAGCTAAAACTACCCTTTACTTAATGTTGCTTTTGGGAGCCCTTCCCTGTTCTGTGTAATATTGTAAAACAGTCTAGACTTTGTGGCCATTATGTCATGATGGCTATAGCCGTACCCATCTCTGAGAGGTTAATATAACTGTCCTTAAATATGCAATTGTAGTTTTATAACTTTATTTTCTCCATTGCAGTCTGAAGAGGACAGACTGCTGCAGGAGGAGCTGAACATGCTGGTAGAGCGGCTACAGGAATCCAATGCGGACCTTTACAAGCCAGCCCTGGAGCAGATCCGCTCTCTTATCCGCTCCTCCACTACATCCATGACCAGCGTCCCCAAACCGCTCAAGTTCATGAGGCCGCACTACCAGACCATGAAGGTGGGAATCACTACCGGGGTCTTTTTCTCTTTCATATCTTTAGCTCCTTACTTTCTTTCGTTTCTCTCTTTCATACAGTTATTGGTCCTGTTTACTTCCAATCATCAGTGTCTGAGATAGTTTTTTTGTAGTCTAATATTTTGTTCCAGGGGGAAATAGGGGATTCACTTATCAGGATAATAATAGTGATAAGTCATTGAATGTCAGCTGTTTGATTTTAGATTTGTTGGTGTAGATAACTGCATGGCACAAAAGCTTTTATATATTGTTGACAACAACTTGCTAGCATATCATAGAGACAAGGACTGGCAATTATTAGGTAAAATAGTAAGGTTGGGTATTCATTTCAATATATTCAGCTAAGTGCATTATTCACAGGACATACACAACAACATCAAAGACAATGCCCTAAAGAAGTTTGCGGCTGACATTGTCTCTGTCTTGGCCATGACTATGTCTGAGGATCGCGAATGTCTAAAGTACCGCTTGCTGGGACAACGTGGAGACATTGGAGACTGGGGCCATGAATATGTCAGGTCAGTTTTTTTACTGACATTACTTATAGTTCCTAAGTCTGTATATACTATATAAATCATTTGTTTTATAATTTTGTAAAATGAATCCTTAGTGCATTCTGGGAAATTATTAAGTCCCTTACAAAATACCTTTGTAATCTGTGTAAAATACGTTTAATTTATTTTTTGTGATACATCACTTACGCTTACTGAACTCCCCTATCACTATACAGACACTTGGCTGGAGAAATCGCACAGGAATGGGAGACACTGGGTGAGGATGATGATGCCAGGAGAGCCGAGTTGATCAGTGAAGCCCACGTCATTGTCCCATACCACATGCAGCACAATGCAGAGGCAGAGGCGTGTGACCTGCTCATGGAGATGGAACAGCTGGAGCTCCTCACTTCACAGGATTATGTTGATAAGGTAAAGGAGACACTGGTCAGAGTGTGAGAAATGGTTGTGCTCTTGGTAACTTTAGTTGGAGATTTTGAGAATATACAAGGCATAATGTGTATGTACAGTATATAAGAAAAAGTAAATGTGGTAGGGCTGCAATCTAAAGAAAAAGCAAGGTTATACCAGCCATCATTATTTATTTATTTTTTCTTTCTTTCTTTGAAGGATGCCTACTCTCGGGTGTGCTTGTACCTGACCAGCTGTGTACCTTACGTCCCAGACCCTGAGAACACCAACCTGATCAACACGGCACTTCAGCTGTATCGCAAATTTGGGCAATACCCACAGGCCATGAGACTGGCTCTCCAACTCCATGACTTTGACCTCATTAAACAGCTATTTGATGAATGCCCAGACAAGCTGGTTAGTTCCCTTCAGTTCTACTTTGTGATGTTTATTTGCTTTTATTATTTTTGTAAGTCCATATCTGTTGAGGATTCCATATTAATTTTATTTTGCTTCTTTACCCGCTCCAGGTGAGAATGCAAGTGGCCTTCATGCTGGGCCGTCAGCAGGTGTTCCTGGAGCTGCCAGAGGACATGGATGACTACGAAGACCTGACAGAGATCCTATCCAACTCCCACCTGAACACTCACTTCCTCTCCCTTGGTCGTGAGGTTAGTCTGTTACTTGTTGGGACTGGATCTCGGGATGCTTAGCACTAGTCTTGTAATAGGCATTTACCGGTTTTATCTTTTTTAGTCCTTTATTCACATCTATATCTTGTCATATCCTTTGTCTTCATTTTTTTTTTTTCCTTCTTAAAAGTTCTAAAATGCTCAAGTAGTGAAATGTTTATATAATATAATTTTGCTGCTGTTATATCACAGCAGTATTTCCTCTTTAGCTTGTTGTATGTTTTCTGTTACTACTATTTTACGTATCCTCAATGAGCCACAATCTGTATATCTGTGGTAGAAGTATAAACTAAGTAGATATGCAAGTAAGCTCAAGCTTAAAGTCTAAAAAGGACTAAAAGGAAAGACAGAAGAATTACTTTTGGCATTGAAGAAAATATCTTTTTCAAGTGTTACATTGACTCCTCTTCGAATTTAAACTTAACGAACTGCCTGAATTTCCAGCTGGATATCATGGACCCCAAAACCCCAGAGGACATTTACAAGTCTCACCTGGAGAACAACCGACCCACCTTTGGCCCTGGCCAGGTTGACTCTGCCCGCCAGAATCTCGCTTCCTCCTTTGTCAATGGCTTTGTAAATGCTGCCTTTGGAACAGACAAGCTTCTTACAGAGGACGGAAATAAGTGGCTGTACAAAAATAAGGAACATGGTAAGACTTTTGTACAGTGAGGGTAATTTGTGTGGACATTAATCAGTTTGCAGAGATATTTTAAGGCTTATGTTAAAAGATCTGCTCTTACCTTTGTGCTGCTCATATGTTCATTGATCAGAAAAACTAAAAACTTTTAAATTCCAGGTATGTTGAGTGCAACAGCTTCACTTGGTCTGATCTTACTGTGGGATGTTGACGGAGGCCTGACACAGATTGACAAGTACCTTTACTCCTCTGAGGACTTCATTAAGTCTGGTGCCCTTCTGGCCTGTGGCATTGTCAACAGTGGTGTGAGGAATGAATGTGACCCTGCTCTTGCCTTGCTCTCGGACTACATCGGACATAAAACTATGGTTTGTGCTAAGTCTGACTGTTCTATTTGACTAGAAATAGGATGTTTCCCATACTGGCTAATGCCTAAACAGAATTAGTTAAATATTGTGCAACAGGAAACAAACATAGGATTCATTTTCCAGGTCATTCGTATTGGAGCCATCCTTGGACTGGGGCTGGCTTACTCTGGAAGCAACAGAGAAGCAGTCCTTAATGTCCTCACTCCAGTTCTGTCTGATGAGAAGAGCTCTTTAGAGGTAGTGGGCATCACTGCTCTGGCATGTGGAATGATTGCAGTGGGTACAACAAACCAGCTGGTTGTGGAGGCTCTAGTCACGACACTTTTGGCTAAATCTGAGACTGAACTTAAGGACACATATGCCAGATTCATTTCCCTTGGACTTGCTCTTGCATACCTTGGTGAGTTAATTTTTTATGCTAGATGCTGACTCATTTTTGTTTCAAATTTTTATTGAATTTTATTCTTTCATTTTTCTGTGGAGTTTTCTTTTATTATTGTGTTGCCTGTAAAAAAAAATTGATATTTGTTTACTCAGGTTGCCAAGACAAGTGTGAGGTGGTCCTCTCCTGCATCGAAAACCTGCCTGCCCCCTTCCGTCAGATGACAGCCACCCTGATTGAAGTCTGTGCTTATGCTGGAACTGGTAATGTTTTGAAGGTATGTATGGATTTATAAATGTGTTCTTCAGTTGTTAGCCCAAAGAAAGTATTGAGATGAATAAACAAATTGAGTTTCATTGTGTAGCTCTGGTGAGGACAGGAAACTATGAGACTGGGGAAGAGCTTAAAGCAAACGGTATAGGTGAATGTTTTAAAAAGGTTTTCAAGGTAAATGTGATGAAAACTGGTTGAACTGGAAATACATAAGGGAAGACATCAAATGGAAAAGAGACATTTGGCTGAGATACATTTGTCAAGAAATAGGAAAAGGAGAGGCCAATGTTTGAGTGTGAACTTCAAGCTGTAGAGTGAAATAATGAAATATTGTTAGAGAAAGCCTTTTGAGATCAGTAACCTTTATACCCAGGAAATAGGAATTAATTACTTATTTTAAACAAATGTGTCAAGACATCTTTTATCTGCAGATGGAAGGACAAGATAAGTTACAAAATTATGTAAATTTGATCAACAGAATAGTATTAAAGGTTGTAGGTTACTTGATGAACAGAGTTGAAAAGGCATGGGTGGAAATTAATAATTTCACAAAGTAGGAGATGTAATTGAAAACAGCTGTAAATATGTATGTTGCTTGATGAATAGTGAAAAATAGAATGAAAATTTAAAATTTTAGTTAGCTATGTAATTGATAAAACATCAGATGAAAAGAAAAATGGATGATTTGGTATTCATGTGAAAGTGCAAAAAGTTTACTTCTCAGTGATTATATTTGAAATTCCTTCAACTTTGTCAAATTTTGCATTTCAGGTCCAGGAAATGCTCCACATCTGCACTGATCACTATGACCAAGAGGAAACAAAATCCAAGGATAAGAAGGACAAGGATAAGGACAAGAAGGAGGACAAAGATAAAGATAAGAAAGAGGAGAAAGATAAGGCAGAAGAAAAGGAGGTTGATCTCTCATCACAGCAAGCTGTTGCTGTCTTAGGTGTGTACGACTTAAATCCAGGCTCAGATGTTGTAAAGAAAAAGCTTTTTGTGTTAATTATACATTAATCTAATGATCCCTGGGATGACATGTACATAATACTATGCCCCCTTTGAGTTTAGTTTATGGATTGTCTTTACACATAGATGGCTCAACAAGTATGTAGTCTCTAAGGAGTCAGGTACCAATACAACCTAATTATTTGTGAAAATATTCTCTTAATTACTATTAGTAATGTTAAAGTCATTATAAATCAGGTGAGGTCACAAGGTCTACCAATTGACTCCTTGGTGGCTTGAGCACTTGTGGAGCCCTGTATGTGTAAGAGACATTGTGCAAAACAAAGTGACGGTGAACACTAAATTTTACCAGTGGCATTGGGTTGATTAACCAAAAGGTATGGGAGCAACAAATTCACCAAATCTTTGTTTTGAGGAAATATGCAAAAGTGTTAGAACTAAAGTCACAGATTTTACGTAAAAGCCAGCCAATCTTTTTCAAATAGATTTATCACAATCTTTTCAAGTGACATCTTGTGGTGATATCTTGTGGATATGTAACCACCATGTGGGGATATTTTGGTTGAACAGTGGATAGTGATTAAGTTGAAATATGCGCCACCTCCCTACCAAGGTTATCTTAGACTCAATTATCACCCAATAAAGTCAAGTTAAAATGGTTATTATATTTGTCAGGGTAGGCCGACTGTGACATTTGTTGCACTTTCAGGGCTAAAACCCACTCACTCACCCACTCACTCACTCACTCACTCACTCACTCACCCACTCACCCACTCACTCACTCACTCACTCACTGCACTATGTCACTCACTCACCACTCCACTCACTCACTCACACCCACTCACTCACTCACTCACTCACTCACACGCTCTCACTCACACACACGCACTCACACACACACACACACACTCATTTCAAACTAGTTGGTTTTCAGGGTTTGCCATCTTTCCTATTTCGTTTTTCTGGCTTTTATTGTGTCATGTGTGTTTCTTCATATTAATCCACCCTTCATATATTCTTGTCTCTCTATCTATCTGTATCTCTCTCCTCTCCTCTCCTCTCCTCTCCTCCTCTCTCTCTCCCTCCTCTCTCTCCTCCTCTCTCTCTCAATATATAATTTATTAGTATAAAATTAATGATGATCTGTTAAATGATGGTTTTAGATCTACTCCCAGAGGAATGCGAAAGGTTTCAGGGCTGGCTCTGCAGAGAGAGGAGTTTAGATGTGCTTGCCCAAACTCTGTAAAGTTCTCCTTTATGGGTTAAATAACATTTCAGAGAATGTAGTATGGGAAAGCAACTTCAGATTTTGCCAGTTGCTAAACTTTGTTCTCATCACCTGTACCTTCTTCTTCATCAGGTATTGCACTTATTGCCATGGGTGAGGATATTGGAGCAGAGATGTCGTTCCGCCAGTTTGGCAACCTGTTGCGCTATTGTGAGCCAGTTATTAGAAGAGCTGTTCCTCTTGCCCTTGGCCTCATCTCTGTTTCAAACCCAAGGCTCAACATCCTGGACACTCTTAGCAAGTTCTCCCATGACTCAGACACTGATGTGGCTCACAATGCTATCTTTGCCATGGGTCTTGTAGGGGCAGGAACAAATAATGCCAGGTGAGCTGTGGATGCTAAATTGGATGTTTGAATGCTTCCTGCATTCACTTAAGATGTATGTCCTAAATCCTTTCAGTCTGGCTGGACTGATATGTGAAAGTTGCATTACATCTCATTATATTTGACTAGTTTTATAATTGACATAAGAGATTTAAAGCTGTTATTTGTTTTTACTTGAGGCATGAGAATGACATTATAATGGAATGTGTCATAGTTTTTCATTACACTACTGGATAAAAATGGTTTGTTACATACATGAAGATTTTAAGTCTTTTTATCTGTACAGTTTGTGTAAGCATTTATTCATAGTGCCTGTAGGTAAGATTACACATTGGGTACGTGATAACTTTTACTCCATTTCCAATTCACTCAGCAAAAGTTAATCATTAATCTTCCCTCTTTTACAGGCTAGCAGCCATGCTCAGACAACTGGCCCAGTACCATGCTAAAGACCCGAACAACCTGTTCATGGTCCGTCTGGCACAAGGCTTGACTCATCTAGGTAAAGGAACCATGACTCTGTCTCCCTACCACAGCAACAGGCAGCTTATGTCACCAGTTGCTGTTGCAGGTCTCCTGGCCACCTGTATGGCATTCCTTGATACCAAGACCTGTGAGTACTTGTGGATATGTGGACATGACCGATAATCATGCTTCCTATATTTTCTTTTATACTTTTGATCAGATTTGAATTTTAGTTTTGTTCCTGAAAATGCAACTATATATGATAAATAGGTAGTGATCTATGGCATGCCTTTAATTGTATTTTACTTTCCTTTATAGTAATCCTAGGCAAGAGCCACTATCTGCTGTACTGCCTTGTCACAGCGATTCAGCCACGCATGTTGGTCACTTTTGATGAACAGCTAAACCCACTCCCAGTATCTGTTCGTGTTGGTCAGGTAAGGAGATTATTATCTTTATTTCTTCCCCATAAATGGTTATATTTGGAATTTGATAATGATGGGGGATGTATAGTTGTGAATCACTTTGGCGGTTGATACTGTAAGGTCTCTAAGTGAAGGTAAACAGCTAAGGACTTGTACATTTCTGTTAATTCAGTAAGGGATCCTTCTAGCACATTGCATTTTAAGAGTAGTTAGCAATGAGCTTACTAGATTGTCATATTTCATACAAACACTATTCTGAGTAGTTATGTTTTATTTAGAAGAATTTATGCTGTACTTTGAAAGTATAAAATGAACATCTGTTTTTTATCGTTTTTCTAGGCTGTCGATGTGGTTGGGCAAGCAGGCAAGCCCAAAACAATCACCGGTTTCCAAACGCACACAACGCCAGTCTTGCTTGCACATGGAGAAAGGGCAGAGCTTGCCACTGATGAGTACCTTCCCCTCACATCTATCATGGAGGGCTTCGTAATTCTTAAGAAAAATCCAGACTACGAGACATAGGTCGTGGGAACAATAGGCTTTCGTAAACTTCACTAGGTCGCTCTAGTATTGTATTTTTTTATTTCTAATATTTGCCCCTCTAGATGGTAATTTAATGATGGAAGGCAAGAGTAACATTTTCCTTAAAAGTCTCTTTTCCTATAGTTGAATATAATGAAAAATTCATGTGATCTTGTAATTCATAAGCCATCAGCAGATGCACCTCAGGCAAAAAAAAATTGAATCTTGAGAAACTTTTATAATATTTAGTTCAACATATTCAAGTAACTATTTTTCCGGTGACAAAGTCTGGGGTCTCTTTTTTTTAAGTTATCAGGGTGAAGCAGATGTCATGTCAAATGAATGAGTGTGATATGTGTAAAAGTTACATTTACTTTAAGGATATGTTTAGCAGATTTGTATTTAATAAACAAACGAACTGTTCATATGTTTTATTTACAATTATTCCTCTAAAACTGTGTATTGTTTTATTTTGGTGTTTAATAGCTCCACATACCTATTCCCTTTTTCATATTTATCGAAATATTTCACGATACTGGGAGTATTTTGAGTGCTCTGAGATTTTTACTTCTGAAAACTGATGTATCCAACGTATGTTCTGCAGTGACTGGTAGGTTTTTAATGGCTAAATATAGTTGATACTTTCGCTGCTAATAATTCATCGGTGAAATAGCTGCAACCTACATAAAAACAAAGTACGAACCATTACTTGGAATTATTTATTTAAACTTTCGTGGCATATTTTTTTTTATATCAGCCTTTTGATTTATTAAACTGATTTATTAACATCGTAAGAGATGATGGGCATTTTATGGCGACATATTCCCTTCGAAACAGAATCGGCTAAACTCAGCACCGAGCGCAGACAGGTGAAAGAAGGGGCGGAATTTGAGAACCGAGAAACTCGATACTTGGATGTTACTCGGTACTTAAATTCCACCAACAGTTAAGCCTTACAACACGGTTTAAACTAGAAAACTGGAAGCTGCGTACCGACTTGTATTTTCAGTACATACTGAAAGGATGACAATTAAATCATGCGCCTCATAATGATGGTGGTGAAAGATAATGCAGCTTTCGTTACGTGAGACACGGGTTTTAAAACACTACGTGGAAGTACAGTCTGAAGTGAATAAAAATTCGAGTAATTTTCTCATTAACGGCAGCTCTTTCGGGCGAGATGCCGGAGCATTTTCACAAGAGAATGAAAGTGCAAGCCTCTTTGGCTCATCCTAACTAGATTCTCTAAAACCCAATGGCAAACACATTGCTTAAATATTTATCATTTAATACTAAAATCGTTTGAATGCTACAAGTATTCCATTTCATTTCACACAATGAGTCGTCATACAAGCACATTCGCAAATTGCTATGGAATTCTTGCTCCACGAAACAAAAACCCTCGTCGGGCAAGGATCGGAACCCGCGAATGAAAGGGCAGTGGAACTTGGCCGCGGGCATGGATGTGGGCAGCGCTTGTTCCCAATCCCTCTGGGTCAGGTAGCTTTTATCCTTGAGGAGGCCAGGAAAAGGATAAACATGCAGGTGACTACCAGGCTCAGAAATCTTTCTATTTGAACAAGATAACGATAGAAGATATTCTGAGAGAGAGAGAGAGAGAGAGAGAGAGAGAGAGAGAGAGAGAGAGAGAGAGAGAGAGAGAGGAGAGAGAGAGAGAGAGAGAGAGAGAGAGAGAGAGAGAGAGAGAGAGAGAGAGAGAGAAGAGAGAGACAGAGAGAGAGAGAGAGAGAGAGAGAGAGAGACAGAGAGAGACAGAGAGAGAGAGAGAGAGAGAGAGAGAGAGAGAGACAGAGAGACAGAGTCTATTTTACCTCATGTATGATTCCTGCATCTCAACAGTTTTAACCCATTCATCAATACAAGTGTGCTATTTTGGTGCAGATATTCGCAAACAAAATCGAATTCCTAAAACTTTAGCACAACTGCGCATTATGTAGTTTTGGTGAAGGAACAACCCTATGTTACTACGCGTATACGAGTGATACATTACACCAGCTATATATATATCTATATATCTATATCTATATCTAATATATATATATATATATATATATATATATATATATATATATATATATATTATGCAGCTTCTAAGATTATGTATAACTGGTCTTCATGTACATATACACTTAAGTCTCTGTTAACCCGACTGCAAAATACGTCTGTATAAATATACCTTTGATATCATACCAATGTTATATACATGTATGTATTAGAATATCAATTAAAATATGATGTAAACGTATTTACAGGTATGCGATTTACCCGCATTTCCTGGCAATTTCATTGTTTAGGATCGCCATGGAAGACACTGAATTCAAGTTGTGGTTCCCTTTGTTATAACGTTTGTATTTTGAATCGGATTTCAAAAGTTTTGGGGAATCCTGGACAGCATCCCTATCCTGCGGTTCTGTTAAGTCATAAACAAGTCAAATCTATGACTGTATATTGTGTGGAACAAACTATGGTGGTTTCATGTTAAAACTGTTTATTTACGTCTGTCAGTCCAATTCGTGGTGCCATTTCTCATTTTATGGCAATTGTTCAAACTGAAAAGTAAACATTTGCGAATAACTCTTGGCCACCGGCAGTAGCTACAGCAGTTTTTTCAGGCTAAAGTAAACGAAAGAAAATTCCCTTCTCCTTTGGGGTAATGTGTAAGACCATTAATTACAGCCCCAGCAAGAGCCTGGCCATAAAGCAGTCCCTGGCAACGTCCCTTTTGCGTCGCAGATCCAGCGTCCACGAAGCCCAGCGCCGTAAATTGACTTCTGCGCACCCGCTGCCACACTTCCCGTGGCGAGCCGGGTCTTGCGAAGTTCTGTTTCTCTACGGAGCTTTTGATCGTATTTATGGTCGACTAACTCCTGTAGGAGTCGATGAGTAAATTTGCCAGTAAAGCTTATGTATTATAAACATATTACATGTTTTTTAAAAGTATTTTGTCAAAGAATTTTGGTATGTGGCACCACTGTAGAAATACGAAACGTAAACATTACGCTGTTCTCTTGACCGAACGCGCCCAATTAAAATAATTCAATAAATTACGACATTGCCACTGTGCTGCTTCCACCACATCAAAATATCCGATCAGACTAAGCTATCTGATACTAAATACATGCATAACATGCATACATAGGCGGAAGATATTCAAAACACGCTAAAGTGCTTGATGCCGGCCGGCAACATTTGACAGGAGTCAGTGGGGAGGAGAGCCGCTCGCTGGAATCAACCATAACACAGCTGACATAAATCCTTTTATTTTCACTTTAGTGTGGTTTGAGGTTGCAGTATACAGCTTATATTGCTTTTTTCTAACAATAATGTGCAGTATAACTGACTCTCACCATTTTATCAGTTAGAAATTGATTTGAAGTAGTGAACGTTCTTTGTTTTGATGGAACTAGCAGTCCCGGCACGCTGACCAATCAGAAAACTGGGTCAGGGATGCGGGAGCCAATCACGCTTCGAGTTGGAGGTCACGTGGTTTTGTTGTTGTTTGTCAGCTGGGCTAGCCGAGCCGCTCAGCTGATTTCACAGTCAGTTCCACGCAAATGTATATCGCGGGAGGACCTGTGTGCGTCCACACCCAGATGGGCATATTCGTTTACGATAAGGACACCTTTCGGATTGTGACATAGTAGTGGGAGTTTGTGGCTATTGATTGCTATCAGTGATCTTTATTCTCGTGAACTGGCTGTGTCTGAAATATTTATTTTCCTAAACTTTTCTTAAAACGTTATTTGACTGCACTTAGGATTGTCCACTAGATATCAGGAGTAGATCTTTTTTCTAAAGTGTTCAAGATGTCGACTGGAAAGCGTTTAGCGAAGCGGTCCATCCTGGGTACGCGCGTTGCCTGCTGTCTGGATGATGGAAAATATTACTCGGGAGTTATATGTGCGGTAAAGACTGTCAACGAAGGAGGTCCTCCAGTGTACTCCGTGAGGGTGGAGGGCGAGAGGCGTGCCAGGGAGGTTCGAGAGGGCGATCTGGTGGGCAGTGGCTTCACGCCCGTTGGCTCTGTGAAGCTTCGCTCTGGGCAGAAAGTATACATAACTCACAATAACCGCGAAGTGTCGGGCAGTGTCCTCTACCACAGACCGAACATCGACGAGGTCCTCATCTCCGTCATCAGCCCTGAGGTACGTTGGTGTTCGCTTAGAGCAGAATGCATTGTGAGGAATATCTTTCAAGTGATGTTAGGCGTGGCTGTTTATTTTAAGTGCATCAGTCTTCGAGATTGTTTTCGATTGTGGTTGCGGTTGTATTCCAACTACAAGTAATTTAGCGATGTCCGAGCCCGCGGAGGCTGTAAACCTGTGCGACAAGGATATATGCAAGTGCAGTGCAGGCCGCGGCCGCCGCTGCTGTTGCCTGGGGCGCCTTCCTTATTTGGGAGGGCACTCGGCCTTGGGACAGCCAACCAAACACCGCCGACCCCTGCACCATCTGGGTATGGTCCGCCACCTCGCCTCTCCCACACACTCGCCCACACCGACTTCAAACTGATTTAACGTTCACAAATACCGTTCCTCATTTTCCTAACGTTTTACGTTCCTTTCCTTTGTGTATATGTTAACTGCGGTTTTGCCTAGATTGATTTGTCGGCACTTGCAAGGGCATTATTTCGGTCTTAAAAATGCTTGCTTCTGGAACATTCAAGTTAGTAACGGATGCGAGGTTCGCCTGTGCTTGGAAACACGATCACACTCAGCATTCACTCACGCATCCCGGGACTCCGGTTTGTGTTCCTACACTCTCTGTAGCTGATTTGTACCGTAATCATTCAGATGAACAAGACTGTACATGGTTATTATGAATCCATGAATGGTGATGTTGAGGTAATATGTAAATTTGATTTTCTTGTGTATTACTAAGAGTATATAGCATTTGCACTCTGGCTCCAGACTAAAGCATCTCTGTATGATCAAATAAAAACGACAGATACAGTGCACATTTTCTACACTATTAATGGCAATGAATTCAGAAGTGGTTAAAGCTAACTAGCTAGCTTCGCTGGTGTTAATAAGCTCTTTCAACGGTTATCGTTTACATTAACCTTTTGATTACGTGGTTTGCTTTAAATGCGAGGACTGTGTAGAGAGAGAAAGAGCGAATCAGTATGGGAATGAACACTGCAGGTCGAGGTGTCAGCTGTGTTGGCATGAACAGCTTGTGTGATGATATTCCCAGCCAATGGATCTGATCAGAGCCCGTTGTCAAGGCTAGGTCTGTACAGTTACAAAATTCTCTTTTGAATGAGTGAATATTAATCAGAAAGAAAGGATTAGAGCGAAAACTGCATTAAGTAAACGGAAGGAATTCATATGTGGTACTCTTTCTATGTATGAAAGAGGCCTGTTAGGTATGAGCGGAGGAGGTTGGACAAGTTGCCGACAACCCTCGCCCGTTTATCCACGACGTGGCAGGGTCGAAGGCGGCGAACCGGGAGGGGGTGCGGGGGCAGATGGGGGTGGGGGTGCCGTTAGGAAGGGTCTTGACGCGAGCCTTGGACTTCGGGTGAAAGGAATGGCCCGGATTCCGGAATGGTGGGCGGCGAAGGAGTTCCCAGGCAACAACAGGCGAGGCTAGCATCGAAGCGACACCGAAGGATGGATGGTGGGGGCGCCTGTGGCAGGGAGGGGGTGGGGGCTCGGCCGAGAGAGGGAGAAACTACCGTGAAGGTGGCGTGCAGGGCGAGTCAGCACACTTGAGTGCATCTCTCGTGAGTTGGCGAATGCGAAGTGAAAGTGACGGGGAATTCTCAATGTAAGGCGTTCGGGAAAGGCATGTAAAGTGGCAGGTCCAGTCAGGTTCGGCGAGCGAGCTGAGCCAGGGAATGCGCCCCACATTCTCCTCGCGAACTGCAGAAATTTCCTTGACAGGGAGGTCAGCCATAACACTCTTGTCCGGATTTTTTTAAACACTGCCTTTCTCTACCATTCTAAAAATACTTTTACTGCTGCATCTGAATCTCGAGCCAGCCGAGGTTGTTTAAGAAGGGGGACGGAGCCTTCTGGACGCTGCTCGTGGAATGCAAATGCAGGAGGACACGCGCCGTGCTCTGTCGATGGCAGATAACCTCCTCACACTGGAAAGTTTACTGTCAAATTGGAATGCTGACAAGCGGGGCCGTCTGATAACTGATAGGGAAGCCATGGTGAATAAAGTTTTTGAGATAGAGAATGACAGACAGACAGAGAAAGAGAGAGAGAGAGAGAGAGAGAGAGAGAGAGAGAGAGAGAGACAGAGACAGAGACAGACAGAGAGTGTCCTCGCCCCCACTCGCGGTCCGAATCAAGGCCTGCTCGCCCAGGGTGTAGGACGAAAGCAGCGAACGAGGCGGAGGCGGTGTAGGTGGCGTGAAGGTGTTCCCGCGAGGTGTAGGTGGAGCGCCCGCCGTATGCTAGGAGGACGGGCGCAGTTTGGGCCGTTGCCGTGGAGGAAAGGGAAGGCGAGGAGAGCACTTGGTCGCCCCTCTCGCGGCATCGAACGGGCGAGGCGGACGGGTTGCAGCCGCTCGTTATTTCACAGGAAGGAAAATGGGACGAGATGGATGAGATACGAGGGCGAGGTGGCCGGCTTGGGAATCAGGCTGCGTCTATGGAGGGAGAGAGAGAGAGAGAGAGAGAGAGAGAGAGAGAGAGAGAGAGAGAGAGAGAGAGAGAGAGAGAGAGAGAGAGAGAGAGAGAGAGAGAGAGAGAGAGAATATGAAAGAAAGAAAGAGAGAAAGAGAAAGGGAAAGTGAGATTATGAACTTCAGACGGTGGGGTTATGTAGGTATGCATGTATATATGCACGTGTGTATGCGTATAGATGTACGCGTATGTCCAATCACACCCTTGGCAGTTCCGCGCGCGCTGACAGCCGAAGCGGTCGTTCCTGCCCGAGACGGAAGAGCGAGGGAAGCGAGCGTGGCTGCAACCTCCAAGACGCGGGGTGTTGCAGCCGGGCGAGTCGTAAAGTAGTTGCAATTGCGGTGCCCGACACGGTGGGGGTGTCAGCGAGCTCATTTCCCTTCGGTTTCTCTTCGGCGGGCGAGGCAGGGAGGGGGAGGAGGAGGGAGGGAGGGAGGGAGGGGAGGGAGGGAGGGAGGAGGGAGGGAGGGAGGGAAGGGAAGGGGGAGGGGGAGGATGCTATGGGATGGGGGATGATGTACCCGGTTGAGGAAGAGGAGGAGGGGGGGAAGGGGAAGGGAAGGGGGGAGGGGAGATGCTATGGGATTGGAGGGTCATATACCGGTTGAGGGAGAGGGGGGAGGGGTGGGGAAAGAGAGGGGGAGGGGCGTGGGTGACCGGAGGAATGCGATACCCTCTGACCCGGGTGCTGGCTGTGTCGACCTACGCAAACACGAGCCGGTCCCTGTCAGAACCCAATCCGGCGGGGGGGGGGGGGGGGGGAGGGAGAGGCCGGGGAGGGGGGGGGGGGCAGAACGGGTTGGTCGCGGGGGATGAGCAGGACATTTTGAGAAACCCCTTAAGTGGACGCGACGAGGGAGGAGGCGCTCCGGGCATTGCATTCGTCTGTTTGTTTATGTCTGGTCCCGTATTCCTCCATTCTTTTTAAACGCGATTTTATACGTGAATGAATGAGGGAGAGAGTGATTATGAGATTAGATATGTATATATATATATATTTATATATTATTCATATATATATGTGTGTGTGTGTGTATCTGTGTATCTGTGTGTATGTGCGCGCGCGCGCGCGTGTGTATGGGTGGAGGCGACCGACTCTGCTGACGTCGCTGACCTCGATCAGCTGGTGGCACCGGCGCGCGTGCTGTCCGGGCTGGCAGGCCTCGTCGGCTCGCTTCCGCTCCTGCTCCTGGCTCTCCCTCGGCTGCTTCCGACGCGGCACGCAGGACTCGGGGCCTTCTGTTCGTCTCGCCCGGCCGGCCGCTCGTCCCTGTGTGTATATATACATAGGCCTACGCATACACATACGTACATCCGCTTGTATCCTCACACTTACCAGACAGAACCTCTTTCCAAGTGTGAGTTCACAGACGCAGGGGCAGTGTGTGGCGTTAGTGAGGAGTGTTCCTCGGCTTCTGCAGGTGGAAGAGTCTGCCGGAGGCTGTGCCTCAGGCAGCCCTCGCAGAGCGTCCGCGGCAGAAGTCGAGGCTCAGGGTTTGTTTACATCGTCGCCAAGGCCGCAGGAGCCGCGGGTGGAGATGGGCGTGTGGGCGGCATGGGGAGGCCAGGCCGGGCCCTGCAAGCCAAGGACATGCACTGTTGTGTTGCGTGACGGCCACTTCCCGGAGTGCGCCTGCATGCACGAGCGCGTGTCGGGAGCCGAGGGCAGCAGCGACGCCCAGGGCGGCCGCTGATCCCAGAAACAGCGGAGTCGCGGCGGCGGCTCTTGGCCTGGTGGACGCCGGCGGCCATATTTGTGCAGGTGCATCGCTGCCCGTTATGACTACATGGCAACACCGTATACCCTGCGCAGTGCGCATGCGCGTTGCACGGGCGAGTAACTCCCGATATAAGAACGGTTTGAATGTTTCAAGACAAGATTGCAGCTGTTGTTTTATTTCGAGGAGGCCGAACCTCCCCCTCGCGGCCCCGTGGCGCCTCACCTGGAGCTCGGGCGCCGTGCGCTGTGAGCAAATCCGCGGGCTCGTCGAGGCCGCCTTCCAGCGCGTCAAGTGCGCGAAGTGAGAGGCAGGGTTCGCCATGCAAATGCCCCCCCAGGAACAAGACGGCGTCATCCTCCTCTTGCGCTACAAGTGGCACTCTGTTCGCTTCCTCGCCCCTCCTGGACACACCTCGGGGGGGGGATGGCGGCGCCATGTTTGTTGCCAGCAGGATCCATCCGCGGTCGCCAGGCCCATACACGGCCCCACGAAGCAGTGGCCTCAGCCCAGCCTCCCTTTGCACCTTCTCCCCCTTCCTTCCCACTCCCCTTCCTCTCTTTCCACTCCCCCTTCCCCTCCTCCACTCCCCTTCCCCCTCCTTCCCACTCCCCTTCCCCCTCCTTCCTACTCCCCTCCCCCTTCCCCCAGCCCCCAGCGCCTGGGCTATTCTCCGTCCACCTCGGCCAGGGATCGGGAAGAGGTAGCGTCGCCCTGCGTTCACGGGGGAGGCGGCCCAGGGCGAGGTCGTCGATCCTCCCAGGCCGCCCGGGAGACGCACCTGTG